AAAATGCATCCCGCAGCGGAGGGAGGCCCCGAGCAGCTTTGCCGACGGCTCCTTGCTTTGACTTTGAACTTGCTGCTTGCCTGCTGAAACAGAGACCCCCCCCCCGCCCCACTTAGCTGTCTGCTGTCACACACTCACCTCCTCCACCCTCAATTTCTCCAACGGGGCTGATGATTTATTTAAATGTGTATCAATTTTGCAAAGGATGCAGTCGCACGAATCCTGCGGCGCAGCTAAACAGAAACATGCACCGATGTGCAAGGAAGCCCCTTATTCTCCCGCCGCCATGGGCTCTCCGTCCCGTTCGCTCCTCCTCCAAGAAACCAGTGCAGACCCATTCTGGGGCCTGGACAGATTCCCTTGGGAATCCCAGATTCACCCCAGCCCCCCAAAGCTCCTGGGTGCTCTCTGGCCAGAGGGGGCTGGAAGAGGGGCTGGCTAGTCCCACCCAGAGAGGACGGCTGCCTTTGGCGTTTCCTTTGGGCCCGCGAACTGTTCCTTTCCTAGAATTTGTTCCAGAGGGAGAGGGGAGCGCTTGCACCCCATCCAGCAGTTCCTTCCTTCCATTTAAGGCATCCGGTTTTCCTTTTCATGTTTTTGTCGCAACTGTTGCAAATATAAAACACAGCAGAAAAACCAGAACGGTCCTGATCCACAACTGCACTTTGCAAACTTTTTTGTCTTGCATGCCCAGGCACTTGCAGGTGAAACATCTGCCAAAAAACCCTTGATATAGCAATAACCTCAATTCTTAAAAAAACACACACACATACACACACACACAGAACAAAAAGGTATAAAGTTCCAAGACCCTCCCTGCGCCTTTGTTTTCCCAAAGTGGTCTCTCTGGACTCCATAACCGCTTCCCACCGTTTGAAATTGCCCTCCCGAAGCTCGATCGAGCAAACTGTTTGGCAGATTCTGCCCAGTTCCCATCACGTGTGAGGCCCTTGCCCCAGAAGGAAAGCAACTGGCCAGCAGCTGCACTTCTCATGGCTAGAAATCTGCGGCACCATCGCAGACAGCAGAGCCATGCCCCCCAGCATCAGAATTGGCTCCAGCACCCTATGGCGGACTTGCTCCCTCCGGCCTCCCCGATGCTCGTGGGGGGAGCTGAGCTTTAAAGGGCAAGAGGGAGGCAGAGCAGGTGTTGTTCAGGCGGGACCAAAGCCGAGCAGGTGAAAAACGCCTCTAGGACGGGGAGGCAGGAGGTGCCCAGAGGCCATCCAGACCAGGCTCCCGGAGAGACGAGCTTCAGCTCATTCTAGAAGCAGGAGCAAGCCTAACATTCATTAACACTCAGCTAAATCTCTCTCCTCGCACACATACAAACCAAAGATCGTATTACGTACAACTAGAACAAATTATCCATCTTTTCGGTGGTGAAATGGAGCCCCCGTCTGCAGAACCAGTCTAAAATTTCCTGGCTGAAGCCTGGGGGTTATTCAGATGTTCAACAGAAGGGGAAAAAACATCCCGTGTTGATGACCTGACCAACAACGCCAAAGCCTGGAATCGGAACAGAGGAGTCGAAGAAAGCCTCTGAGCACGTGCCGCATCCTCTCGTGCATCGCCGAGCAGCTAGGCCGGTTCCTACCCGAGGGGGGAGCTCATCCGACTGGGGACTGCCGCCGCCAGCACCATCATTTTCCTTGGGTGCCATCTCCTTACTGGCGACCACCAGCGCTACTTGCCCTCTGATGTTCTTCACCCCCTCTGACCACCTACAGCCTGCCAGGACCCAAGATCACTAAATACTAGTTTTCAGCCACTGGCGGTCTTCCTGGGAAAAGACCCACCTGCTGCCTTCTGCATGGCTGTTCCTGTTCCACACAAATGTATGTCACCCCTGCCATTACACGCGCCACAGCCATTGCAACGCGCAGCCATTACTCTCCTGTCTTGGGGGACGCTGATTTACTGGTGGCATCGCTCACCATATCACAATACAGTCCACGGAGATATGTCGCATTTTCCACATGTTGCTGTGATTACATCCTGCGAGCATGGCTGCTCATTGCCCACAGCTCCTTATTCAGCAAAGCTTGTATTGCAGATAACCGTTGCGGTCACTCCACCCTCCGCAGCCCAGTGGGCGTGCGCGGTAGCCAAGCTCTGCTCAGATCTGGCATCTTATATTTCAGGGAAGAAGCCCCTCCCCGCCTTCTCCCCCGAAATGGGACCCAAGGCTGCTGAACTCCAGATGCCATTTCCAAAAGCAGGTCAGCAGCCCTCCCAGCCAGATGCCAGCCGTCTGCACCAACTGCCGTACAGTGACCTGAATTTCAATGGCCGACGCTGGGCCGAGAGCAGCCGAATGAGTGGCAGTGAGCAAAGGTTAGCCGAGACGGCGTGCAGCGCATGAACATGAGTCCCACCTCAGGCAGATTTGGCATCTCGACCAGAGAGGGACGGGGGACAATGGGAAAGAGGCGCCGGGCCCTGTAGAGCTGATCTGGAAGCCGGGGGAAAGGCGCCCGGGCAGAGGCGGGCTCTCAGGATGCGGAGAAGGGTTGATTTCCTTTAGCTGCTGGGGTTGGGAGGGCAACCGTGGTGGACATGCCTTCCACCACCGGAGTGTTTTATCTCGAAGCCCTTTGCTCCCCTCGAGGGCTGCGGGCTGTGCTACCTGGGGCTGCCCTTGAAGGCCATTCAAGAGCTCTGGGCTTTGCAAAATGCAGTGCCCTCCTGTTATACAGAAACTTTGCTGCAAAATACCAGAACCTTTCATCTTTGAAGCTGCTATTAAAGCATGACCTTTGCTTTCCTGGAAAAAAAAAATAGAAGCATCAACGCAGAGGGTAATATTCATAAAACCAACCGAGAAAGAAATAACCCACGAACAACAATAAGCAGGCATGAATTAACGGGGAAGCCAAATTGAAAGGAAGTCTGAGCAGGGCTGTTATTCACCGACCCCCCAAGGAAGCGATGAAGATGCAGCAGTCGGTGACACGGAGGGATCCCTGGGATTTCCCTGGACTGACCAGCTTTCCTGGAGCCCTGGGAGAGGCCAGTCAGGTCTCTCGGGCAAGGAGTCCATCTGTGGGGGCACGGCTGAGTTATCTGCCTCCCCAGCCCAAAGCCATAAACTGCCTTCAACAGGAGACCCCCAGCCCTTGCATTAACCACATCAGTGGAGAAACCAACCAGTCTGAAGCCAAACCTGGGCTCTGGTCAGTTTGCCAGTTTGCCCAAAGCTCCTCTTGTGAGGACGCATTAAGTGGACTGATCTAGCGAGGGGGGGGGGACCAGGGTGGTTTCGCCTGTCAACCAGCAGTCAGAGGTGTCACCTTCCCTAAGCCCGGGGAATAAGCTTCGTGGCATCCCTGGCCCAAGCAGCACGGCCAAGCCCCTCTCCTCCAGCACATCTTTTCCCCTTTGCAGAGCGACACGATCAGAATTTGCACCCTCGTTTTGAGCAAACGGAACTACCCGCTTTCCCTTCCGGAACTGATGCTGACACTCATTTTTAAGCATGCTCAAAACGAGGGCGGGGGACCCAGTCCTTTCACCCACCATGGTCGGCTCTCCCCCAGACCTGATCTTCTGGAGCTTTGAGATCTATCCTGCGAGTAAGCAAAGTCTGGTCCCTCAGACCTCTCGCACCGCCTCCCTCCGGGGCCCTCCATCGGACGCCTCACCCTGACTTCTCCAGCTGCTCCTCATTTCCACAAGGCCCCTGCAGTCAGCCCTCCTTTCGCATCTCCAAGGGAGGAGCTGGGCTCGCTTGTTGCAACGAGGGGGGATTGTAAAAGCCACGCCTTGGTGTTCTTGCAGAAGACGCTTCTCTTGCCAATTGCTCTGCAATCCTTGGGGCATCAGCTCGCTTTACTCTTCCCCACGGGTCAGAAAAAATCAATCCTGGGCATTTTAGAAGCAACCCAACCCACAACCCCCAAGGCTGGCATTTCTGGACAGCTCCTGCTTTTTCCACTGGAGCAGCCCATCTAGGAGGGCCTCCACGCTGGCGCAGGTACTCCGTTTGGGTGGTGCCAATGGACTTGTCTTATGGAAGCAGCTTCTGCCAGGACGGCTCCCTGCCCTGTGCCTTTGGGATGAGCCCACCAGAAAAATCCAACGCGGCCCCACCAGTCGCTGGGCAAAAGGCCAGAAACAGGCCCAGAGCTGTGCCCGGCGCTTCGCTCCCTCTGCCAAGCGATCGCAGCCAGCAAACAGCTCCGAGCAGAAAAAGCAATAACCATCCAGCAGGGCGATGTTTTAAAGCATCCAAATCCAAGAAGAGCACAGCCTCAGCAGGGCGGTTTTTGTTGGCTGATTGCAAGCCCCCCGCCCCACTTCCAGCTTTTGGGGAAAACTCAGTCCATGGTTGGGTAATTTTAGCCTGTGAATTTCATGTTTTTGGAGGGGGCTGCTCATTAGTAAGGCCAGAAGCAGCCTTGAGTGCTGGTCTTACTCGGAAGGTCACAGTGAGCAGGGTCCTCGGTGCTGCGTGGAGTCAGTGAATTTAGACTCCAGATTTAATTAAGGGGAGGAAGAGACACTTAATTTAATTCCAACTTGAGAGTGGGATTCTACCCTGGGGGCACCAGCACTGAGCAATGCTTTGGGCTCCCCCGACTCCTAAGCAGGGGCATCACGGGGGGTGTCAAAAAAGTCAAGATGGCAGCCGCGATGGTGCGATCCAAGCCCCCACCCCTTTGCCTTGGTCACGTGCCCTTCCTCCCTGCTCCCCCGAGCTGATGCTGCAGCCAGAGATCTCCCTTGCAAAGGGAACGCGTACCTGCCCACCCCTGGAAAACGTGGATGACAGAGGGCCTCCCTCTTCTGCTACGCTGGACTACGACAACGTGCCCTGGGTTGATTCTGTTTTCCTGACAACAGCCCGAGCCTAGTAAAGGAAACACACCATCAGGACCTCATCATTTTCCAAAGAACCGCCTCACATCCTCCGGCGCCACCGTTGTATCGGCTGGGAAGGAACCACAGGCTGCCAGCCTTCTCTGGGAGGAAACTGGCACCACCACACCCGTCCCCGATTTTCAGCTCCATTTATTAGAAAATTCCAGATGTGGTTTAGAAAAACAAAAGGACTTCGTAGAAAACGGGCCCACAAGCGAGTCCAGTAGAAAGATCCCAGAAAGGCAGGAGTGGGACCGCAGAAGCGTCTCCCCCGGGAAGGATGGAAGCGAGTCGTCTCCTGCTGGGGCAGCGGTGCCAGCCTGGTGGGAAAGCAGAGGAATGGTCCGAAGTCCAGATTCATCCTGAAAGAGACCAGCAGAGTTGAGTTTCTTTGCCGCACTTGAATCCAGGCTCTGCCTGCCAGGAGCTGAAACGCAGGCCAGGTTCACAGAGCGCACTACACTATGGCTTAACTGTGGCTTACGGAATAAACTACAATTGTTGGCTGAGTTCACACAGCAGGCTGCTCCCAACCCAAGCCAACCAGCCGAAGCGTGAATTCAGCTAGGATATTTAGGGCTAGGGTGAAATTCAGGGCCAACCTCCCATCCTGACAGATGGAGACCCTTCCCACGGAGTCCCACAGAAGCAGCAGCCAAGGAAACGGCGAGGACCTCCCTCTGGAGCTCCTGCCTGATCTCTGCGTGCGGATGCTGAAGTGTGGGGCCGGAAAAGCAGTTCGTGGGGAACGCCACCCTCCAGTTGCAGCCCTCATGCACTAAGCCCGCTGGCAATCCCTGCCCCGTTCAACAAGGGAGCCAGGAGCGTGACTGCCCTCTTCTCCGCATTTAACAAGAGTTTTGCGTTTTCTGGCCCCAGAGCCAGGCGGGCATTCTTTTCCCTCCGGGTATTAAGATGCCCGTTGGAAAGTTTCCACTGCTTTGTAATGTTCTGTTTAAGCCGACTACAAAGCCTTGGTCTTGGGGTTTAAAATTCCACAGAAACCAACAATGGTCCCCAGGAAACAAGCCACAGCTCGAAATCCATCTCGGCAGCCACGTGCTCCGCAATGCAGCGCGTTCACACACTTCTGACGGTGGCCCAAACCCAGCGCAACCAGTTCCTCTTCAGAACCTGCCTTTTAGGTATCCTGAGGAGGAACCGCCTCTCCCAATCGCTCGAGTCTTCGTCTTTTGAGTGCGCTCATTTTCCCTTTGAAAATACTGGAGGACCCATGTCAGGCGTGTACCTAAAGCAACTTTTCATGGCAGCTTCCTCAAAGGCAGTGTTCCCAAACCCTGGGGACTTTAAGAGGGGGGGACTTCAACTCCCAATTCCCTTGCTGGCTGGGGAATTCTGGGAGTTGAAGTCCACCCGTCTTAAAGTCCCCAGAGTTGGGGAACGCTGCCCAAAGGCAAAGCAGGAGCAGCAGGGCACTGGGTGAAACGTCCCCAGGGCACAGGAGAACTCAGCTGCCACCCTTCTGCACAGCTGGCTGGTGTGCGAAGAGCAGCAGCAAAGAGGCCTGTCTGCATTCTTCCAAGGCACGCCCCTTCTGCTCCGGCCCAACATTTTCTGCAAAGGGGAGGCTGGGGGGCAGAGAGAGCGCCTACCTCGGGTCTCCGGTCCAGCTGTGCCTCGTTCGCTGGCAGGCTGCCAGGACTCAGATCTTGATGCCAGCCCAGTCGTTGCCATTCTGCCTCTCCTCTGCCGGGAGCACTAACGGGGGGTCTGCGCAAAGCAAGGGGAGAGGGCAAGAAGCAGAGAGAGGGGCTCGACTGGATGCTCGGCCGCTGGAAGCCGCACAGCCAAGAAAGGAATTCCCCCCCCTCATCCGAGAAAAAGGCCCGGGAGACCGGGCACCCCCGGCAGGGCCCTTTCGGTCAACTGGGTTTTCCGTTGCGAGAGCGTGACCCACGGCCACTCCAGAAACAACCCCGTGTTCCTCCGAGACTTTGGACCCCAAGGGGAGGCTCCCAAAGTGGCCCTCCTTTTCAGCAGCCCAGAACAGCGAGGGGCATTCGGAAACATCGAATGTGTGAATGCAAAACACGGATGGGCTTAGACCGCAGGGTCACTCCTGGTTATTTTGGCTTTTACGGGCCTCGGGAAAGTCCCATAAAACTCAGCGCATTCAGAATATCACATTTGCATACTTTCCCATGCAAGTTCAACGCTACTGGACATCAAAGAAAGAAAATATCGCTAGGTGTCATCAGATTGTGTGTGCACGCGCATGGATGTGCCTTCGAGTCAGCGTCAATGACGCCTGATCCCTGCAGCTTTCTTGGCAAGATTTCAGAAGTGGCTTGGCAGTGCCATCTTGCCAGGGCGGAGGGAGGGACAGCCCAAGGTCGCCCAGCTGGCTTTGTGCCAAGGCAGGGCTGGAACTCACGGTCTGCCAGTTTCTAGCCTGGGGCCTTCGCCACTAGACCAAGCTGGCTCCCTAACGCTAGAGAAAGTTCCCCCACTCCACACTAGCGCCGCTTCAGCTCCTCGAATGCTCTCTGGGCAAAAAGAGGAGCTATAAACTATAACAGCAACAGTAGTAGCCGCAGTAATCATTTGCATTGTGGGGAGAAGGATGGGGAAAGAAGACCCCTAACGCTTTCTCACCCGCTTATTCACCCAGCACTTGAGATATTTTTGTCTTGGGAGCCCTGGATAGAAGCCAGTAAGACCTGGGCCAAAGTTTGGGCAGAGGCTGCTAGTTGCTGACTTACAGGCTACAGGCATGCCATGGGGGGATGACTCTACCACTCAGTGATGAGTGTAGCTAGCTACAAATTACAGTTGAGAACACTGCTGGGCTCATCCTACGTTTGGCAACACCACCGCCTGGCCTGTCCTTCCTGGGCCTCAGGACGCTTCTGCCTCCCTTTACCTTGTTCTTCTGCTCTGGAGGCCTCGGGTCCAAGCCCAGAGCAGCCACGGAGGTGGTCGACATTAGTCCGTGACCACCTCCTTCTCCGGGGGGACGACGCCTCCTCCTCCGCCCCCTTGTCGGAAGCGCCGACCCGCGAGCCTTTCTCGCAGTCCTTGGTCAGCACCACGACG